ACTTCCGTAGTGATACTGCCTTGGAAACCCAAGGAGGGGTCGCTATGAGTCAGGTGTGACTCGACGGCACATAACAACAACAACAACAACATACATAGATACATATACACGCACACACAGAACATGATTTCTTGGTCAATTTTACAAATAATTTTGCTTTAAATAGTGAAAGCTTGGAAAAGTCCTAGCAATAAAAAGGTATCTGCCTGAAATATCTTGTTTAGGGCTGCATAAACAGATTGAAATATTACAAAGAAGAAATTACCATGATAAAATTTTCACAGTAGGAGTTACCTCTAGAGCTGGAAATGGATGTGAGGGACACGTGGGGATTCTAGGATGCTATATTGTTCTATGTCTTGTCCCAGGTGATGGTTACACAGGTGATTATTTATTAAGCTCAACATAATTTCTCTGTATACTATTCCTCATGTAAGGAGCTCTGTTGACATAGTGATTAAGGCATTCAGCTGCTAACTAAAAGGTCAGTGGTTTGAACACACCAGCTGCTCCACAGAAGAAAGATAAGACAGTCTGTTTTCGTAAAGGTTTACAGCCTTGGAAACCCTACAAGACATTCTACTCTGTCCCATAGGGTTGCTAGGAGTTGGAAGTGACTCGATGACAGTGGAACTATAACTTGCAAATTTTTTTTTAAAAATGAGAAGAGATATCTCATAAGATAGAATTAAAAGACCAAGAACCCTAAAACTATAATTGTTAATCTGCTAAACCGTATCCCAAAATCATCATTCTAAGTATAAGAGTGTGTATTTTAGCCTAGTCAGGGTAGCCAGAAAAAGAAAACTTTTTTAAACATATTAATAATTTTTAGTTTCAAAAGTAAGACTCATATGAAGTTTCTAAGAAAAAGACTTAAAAAAAAAAAATAGCATCACATGGTTAATCAGGGTAGGCACATGACCCTTAAAGAAAAAGACAAAAAACACAAATGTGAATTTTAGGACTGGAATAAGCTCTCAGTCCCGTCTGCCCCTAGGCAGATGAACTGCTCCCCAATCCTGATGAAGCCGTGAAGAAAAGACAGAGTGCACTGTCCAAAACTGGCAGAACAAGGAGGCAACGACTGACTTCCTTCCAAGGACAGAGCAAAGCCAGAGAAACAGCAAACTGCCCACCCACTGCCTGCTTTATGCATGATTAGCCCCTTATGAACTGCCCACCCACTGCCTGCTTTATGCATGATTAGCCCCTTATGAACTGCCCACACACTGCCTACTTTGTGCCATGATTAGCCCCTTACGAACTGGTCACTTCAGTCAATGTTCTTCATCATCAGCTACACTGCTTTCCCTTCAGCACTCTCTGACCCAAAACATTAGCACACGCCAAATATCTGCAGCCTTTAGTGATCCAAAAAGGAAAAAAGGCTAAAAATCATTCAAAAAACTTATTTAATTAACAAGCATTTTAAAGTAAGGGAAGGAAGAAAGAAGAGTACCTTCTGTGTTTTCTCAAGAAGGTAGTAAAGCAAACTGGTTAAACACATGAGCCTTGGAGTCAGACAAACCTGGGTTTGAATCCTCCCTTTATGCAAGTTACTTAACCTCTCTGAGCCTCAGTTTCCTTATCTGTAAAAGGGGAATAATAACAACGCCTACTTCATACAGTTGCTGGCAGGATGAGCTGATCTAATGCATATATATGCAATGCTTAATTTTAAGGCAATGTCTGACATGTATTGATGCATCTCCATAATTACTGATCGAGGGACTATTATCAGCCAGACTCAAGTTAGGAGCTTGATTCATATACACATCAATAATAAAACAGATAAAAATTCCTACCTTTATGGTTACCTTTTCAAGGGGGAAACATAGGATAAATATAGTAAATTCACCATACAGCACATTAGAAGGGATTAGTACTTCCAGGGACAGGAAAAGAGTGGGGGAGAGGGAGGGAGAAAGGGCTGCACTTAAAATAGGAGGACAGGGGACGTTTCACTGGGAAAGTGACAAAGACTTCAAGGAGGTAAGAAGTTAGTCCTGTGAATTCTGAGGGAAGAACATTCTTGCCAGAGGCCATGGCCATAGTCGAGCCGAAGGCCTGACCTTTGTAAGGAACAGAAGGTGGCCTGCGTGGCTGTTTGGAGGGACCAAAGAAGAAGACAACAGGAAATGAGGTCAAAGAGGTAAGGGGCCAGATGACATGAGGCCCTGCACACCACTAGAAGGACTTTAGGTTTTACTCTGAGACAGAAGGGCAGCTGTTGAAGGATTTTGAACAGATGAGCACCCTGAAAGTACTCAATAAATATTAGCTATTAATTTCTGATGGAGATGAAAATGATGGTTACTAAACTTAAAGAACATATAAAAATAGTTAGACACACAAAAACATTCTATGGTGAAAAAATCAGAACTACAGTTGCAGAGAAGGGGACTTTTTGACGTGATAAAAATGTCTCTGACACAGCGGAGTGGGTTACATGGATGCATACATTTGTCAAAACTGACTGAACTGTGTACTTAAGATTACTGCATTTCACTGTAAGCAAATTATACTTCAGTTAATGAAAACATTAAAAAAGAGGCAGTAATTTTTACAAATTAATAAAACATCTGTACAGTGCTTTACAAAGCACTTTCACATACAAAAAATTAATAACCTTAACAATCCTATGACATAACTGTATATGATTAAACAGTGAGGTTCAGAAATTGAGTGAGCCGTTTAAGCTTACCCAGCTAGTAAGTGGGTTCTGAGACCCAGTCCAATGTCTAATTCCCCTACACACGCTGGGACGCCTCCATAATACACTCGCCATGCAACTGCTAACTGTGAAGGCAGGGCAGGTCGCTAAAGGCCTAAGTCTCAGTTAACTTATCTCTAGAATTATGACGTCATCTTAAGCGACTATCATGGGTCCTTTTTCAGGTACAGAATTCTATGTTTCTCCTTGCAATGATGTACTCCGAGGGGCTGCAATATGGTGTCATGCAGATGAGTTGCAGGAACAGCCAGGTAGAAATGGGTTGGAATCTAGGCTTATCACTTACAGGGGATAGTCAAGAAGTTATTCACTCTCAGGGACTTAGGATTTAATACTGGGGGTAATAATATCCACCTTGTAAGTGGGTTGGGAGCTCTGGTGGCATAGTGCCTAACGGATGTGACTGCTACCAGAAGGCTAGCAGTTCAAACCCAGCAGCCACTCCTTGGAAGGAAGTTTGGGCAAACTACTTCTGTAGTGATGAAACCTTGGAAACCCAAGGAGGGGTCGCTATGTCTCCACGGCACTGGGTTTATAAATTGGTTAAAGAGAGAGTACTGTATGTCAAATGACTGACAAAAAGTATGCCTAAATTATTATTCCAAAATTAAAAATGTCTTACAAAATTCATCCTTTTACATGATAAACTCTATGAAGCTTTAATAAAAGAATACATACCTGAAATGAAACTGTTCCATCACTATTGTGAACAGAAAAGGAATTCTCTCCCATTGCCTAAAAAGATTTAACAACTTGTTTTAGGATGATACTGGCAGATGAAGTGTGCTAATTAAAATTAAAATAAATTTTAAAAACCTACCTTCTTACTGTACCTAAATTTGCTGACCTTCAAAACTCTGAAAATAAAATTTACTATCCTTGTAAAGATGTTTGAAATCCGTTTTTCACAAGAAAGGTAATTCTTCTCCCACCTCTTCCATTTTCTGTGGGAGCTCTGGTGGCATAGTACCTAAGGCATTTGACTGCTAACCAGAAGGCTGGCGGTTCAAACCCACCAGCCACTCCTCGAAAGGAAGGTTGGGCAATCTACTTCCGTAGTGATACCGCCTCAGAAACCCAAGGAGGGGTTGCTATGAGTCGGGTCCGACTTGACGGCACATAACAACCACCACCACCTATACATATGCCAAAACTTATCAAACTGTACACGTTAAATATGTGCAGTTTATTATGGCAATTACACAACAGTGGTTTAAAAAAACAAAGCAAACACTGCCATTTGGATGCCCCCTCACTGAAAAAATCAAAATATCCCAAACAAAAACCCTCCCAAATTTTCCTCTTCTGCTACTTCTATGATACACCTCTCTGTGAAAAAAAATGACCTCTTCTCTAACTCCACCCCCATAACTGGTCTCCCAGGCTGATTCTTTATTTTACATCCCAAGGCTCAGCTCGAACCCAGATCCTCATCACCTAAACCTGTATTATCACAACAGTGTCTTTACTGGCTCCTCTAATTTCACTCTCTTTCCAAGGTTTACCTGAATATTGTTTCAAAATGATGATCCTCACTAAACACCATTTGTAACACATTCTTTCCTGATCAAGAATTCATATTTACTTCCTAATGCCTACACTATGAGGCACTCTCTAAGACACTCTGGCCCTATATTAACTAACTTCTCTCTCTCTGCTTCTAAACATACACCTTTTACTTCAAATATGCCAGTGCCCAGCACCTGTTATGTTCATCCCCACTTTCTGATCTTTGCTCATGACATTCTTCATCCTCTTTCTTTTTTTTTTTTTTAATTGTGATTTGAGTGAAGGTTTACAGAGCAAATTTACTTTCCATACAGCAGTTCACATACACTTCGTCTCATGACATTGACCACAGTTTACCACAATGTAACAGTTCCCCTCCCACTTCCCCCCCAATAGTTACCTCTTCACAGTGTCCATCCCTCCATGCACTCCTGCCCCCTGAGCTGTCTTCCTGTGCATAAGCAGCCCTTCTTTCTCCCATGATTGTTCTCTCCGAGGAGTATAGCTACTTGAAGTAAATGTTCAACCCATATGCCTGTCTATTATTTGGCTGGAAACCACAGGTGTTGGTTCAATTCCAGACCTGAAGGGCAGCTAGGGGCCATAGTTTCAGTGGTTCCACCAGGCTCTATCAGACCAGCAAACCTGGTCCTCCCTTTTTTTTTCTCCAAATGATTTTGAGTTTTGTTCCACATTGTTCTCCCTCTCTATCAAGGATCTCCTACATAGATCCCCTTTCAAGTAGATGACAGCTTCATCCTCTTTCTTCCGTTTCTCTTCCACAAACAAATCCACCAGACTCCAAGCTCACCCCTGGGGACACCTCCTTCCAGAAGGCTCTTAAGAAGGATCGGCTTCCCTCTCCCTTCGCTCTCTGACTGTTTATCACACAAGTGCTGCACAACTTACCACTCAATTTGCCTTCGAGAGTGTTCCAGTGTGTCAACTTTATCTCCCCAAACAGAAGGCAACCCCCTGAAAACTAGGAATGTATCTGTATCTATATGCATGCACACACATATGTGCATACATGTTAATAAATACACATGCATATATACATTTACCCAGAAAAGGTGGGCCCAAGTGAGTGGGTAGTTCTTACCTTTGAATTCACAGTACTTCTTTTAGACTTTCTACTATCTAGAAACAAAAATATTTAAAAATATTATTGCCTGATTCAGCTTATATACATATTACAGTATCATTTTATGAGTATCTAATTTGTCTAACACCAATTAAAACAAACAATAAAAAAACAAAAGGTGAGGCTATAAGCTATCTTGTGGAATGCCATCTCCTCAGGCCCAAAACAGAACTCTTGAGCCACGACAGTGTCAACTGAGAATCTATGACAAATACTATCTAGTAAATGAGCAGTTAGTACTAAAGGGGAACTCATCGTGGAATACTCTAATGTATGTTCTTGCCAGGGATGCCACGTGGAGGGACTTTCCATTATTTCCTAAGAAATTATGTTTGAAAAAGATAATTGTTTAAGAAAAGTATAATATATGAGATTTATTTACATACGTGGAAAGATTAACAACAAATAATATTAGCAAACTGCATACTTGTATTTGTCCACAGCAAAGTGTATTAAGACTGCTAATGGTTTCTTTCATGGAACAGAGAGGGCATCTGTGCCTTATTTTTACTTAAGGTATTCTTCACAAGGAAGACAGGATTTCAAGCTCCCTGCAGGAAGCTTCCCTGCAGGAAGGGGCATAGGACCAGGCAGTGTTTTATTCTGTTGTACATCGAGTCACTATGAGTTGGAACTGACTTGATAGCACCTAACAACAACAAGGAGGAGGAAGAGAGAGAGTTTCAGAATAAAAAGAACATTTTCTGCCCAAGGAATAGTATGTGAATGTAAGAAACCTAGATAAGGAGATGGTGCACCAACATTAAGACTGTACCATCAAACAAATTGTTTTTCTATGCCTTTTCATTCAGAGTAAGTTTTGACAAACTGAGAAAAAATATACAAATATAATAAATAGTATTTAAAGATATAAATCATTACGTGAAACTGACAGTTAATAAAAGAAATAAATAAGTATAAACTGGTTAATCAACAAGGAGCTCTGATGGTAATAGTGGTTAAAGCATCTGGCTGCTAACCAAAAGGTTGCTGGCTTGAATCCACCAGCCACCCTGCAGAAGACAGATGAGGTGGTCTGCTTCCGTAAAGATTTACAGCCTAAGACGCCCAACGGAGGTCACTATAAGTTGGAATTGATTCAATGGCAGTGAGTTTGGGTTTTTTTTTTTTTTGGTTAATCACTATGTGGGGAGAAAGAAGTATAGCCTCAGTATTAAGAGAAAATAAGAAAACAGAACCAAAAACAAAATAAAACAAAAAAATCTTTTATCCTTTCAATTCAGGATCTCTTTAAAAAGAAAATACGTAATACTGGCTAGGACATGTGATGTGGCCACCAATCCAATATGTTTTCAACGGACGTATAAATAAACACAAGTCTTTTGGAAAATAATTTGAAAATGTGTATCAAGTTTCTGAAAAGTATTTATACCTTTCACATCAGAAATTACAATTCTGGGAACCCATCTTAAAGATATATATATATGAAAAAAGGTGTATAAATAAGTAAGTCCAATGCTGTAATATTTAAAATAGCATAAAAATGAACTGTTCTCCTTAATGATGGTATTCATTTAATGGGATATTATATGAGTATGAAATAAAAGTTAAGTGAATAGGGACACATATAAAATTATATATCTGACTATAAATTTTAAAAAGCAAATGTTCTAGACATCACAAACAAGATCAGAAGGAAACATAAATTCTGGCACTGTGACTAAGGAGAACTGACTGTTCTTTCTTCTTTTCTTTATTTTCCATTCTTTTTTACTGGTTATTTATGTTTTGTATATAACCTTCAAAAGAAAATAATGCTAAGACTGCAACGGATTAAGTATGTGTTTACTTAGTAACAAACAAAAAAACCTACAAAGCAGGTGTGATCGTTAAGGCTGTGTGTCAACCTGGCTGGGCCACAATTCCCAGTGATTTAGCAGTTATGATATATTCACCCCCGGGATGAGATCTGATATCATGTAATCACCTCCATGATGAGATCTGCTATGAGCAGCCAATCAGCTAAAAGGGATTTCCTCAGGGGTGTGGCCTGCTTCATATGTACATACATACATACATACATACATACATGTTGTTGTTGTCGTTGTTGTTACTTGCCATCAAGTCGGCCCCGACTCATAGCGACCCCTCCTTGGGTTTCCGAGGCAGTATCACTATGGAAGTAGGAATGCCCAACCTTCCTTCCGAGGAGTGGCTGGTAGGTTTGAACCGCCAGCCTTCTGGTTAGCAGTAAAGTGCCTGAGGCACTATGCTACCAGAGCTCCTACATACATACATACATATATACATATATGTATGTGTATATATATATATTTAGGAGCTCTGGTGGCGTAGTGCTTAATCCTTTGACTGCTAACCAGAAGACTGGCAGTTCAAACCCCATCAGCTACTCCTCGGAAGGAAGGTTGGGCAATCCTACTTCCGTAGTGATACTGCCTCGGAAATCCAAGGAGGGGTCGCTATGAGTCAGGGCCGACTCGACGGCAAACAACAACATAACAACAATAATAACATACATACATACACACACACACACACACACACATACAAAACTTGGGAAAGAAGTTACATGGCTCCTGCATCTAGCTCATCATCTTTAGTTTCTGGACTTAAACCAGTGGCCTGTTGCCTTTGCAGACTGTGAGCCAACAATCTGCCATTTTACCTGCTAATCTTCAATTCATCAGCTTCCAAAGCCAGCATCCTGCTGTATTGCCTACCAATCTTGGGTTTGTCAGCCCCTGCAGCTGTGTGAGTCAGAAGCCTCCAGCTTGACATTTGACCCATGGACTTGGGACCTACCAACCTTCCAACCACATAAGCCTATATATAGATATATGCTTATATACATACATACATATATATACAGGAGCTCTGGTGGCATAGTGCCTAAGGGATCTGACTGCTAACCAGAAGGCTGGCAGTTCAAACCAACCAGCCACTCCTTGAAAGGAAGACTGGGCAATCTACCTCCGTAGTGGTAACTCCTCGGAAACACAAAGAGAGGTCACTATGATTCGGCTCTGACTGGACGGCAGTGAGTTTTGACTGCTTCATGAGTTTTCCTTCCCTAGAGAACCTAGCCTAAGATAGCACGGCAGTGAAAAAGTGCTACATTCAACCTTATAGTTTACCTTGATTTTTCTGAGTCTGGTTGCTTGCTGAAACAGGGTTACCACCAGGCTCCTGGCTCTGACCAAGGAGTTTCTCATCTTTGCTGAAGATGATCTTTGGTAACTGAGTACCAGCTTCTGGTGGGGACTTTATTTTTACTCTATAATGAATAAAATAGAAGGAAAAAACTTCAGAGTGGTGCTTACGGCCATATATTAAATGCTGTTTGCTTGGCATTGTGTCAAGCTCTAACTATACCATTTCATGTAGTCCCTATAATATTACAGTAGAGATTCTATTATCTACATTTTATAGATACTACAACTGAGTCTCAGAAGGGTTAAACAACTTACCTAAGGGCAACAGGCCTTAGGTAGGAAGACCAGAAGCCACGCAGTCTTACTCTAAAGCTGAAACTCTTAGCAACCACACTATTCTACTATGCATGCTTTTGCCCCTAGATAATTAATACGATCAACAAATTACTACACAAGGGAAAAAGGACAAAAGGTAAAAAGCCCAGTAAGATGTTACAGTGAAGTCTATGGGAACATGAGCAGGGCAGTAGGAACTATTGGTTCCCTACGTAATATCCCCCTTAGGAGATTCTAATTTTAATTATATAAACATCCTGTTGACAGAAGGGCTAGTCCATGAGTGGACATGTGACCTAAGCTGGCACACTGAAGTTGAAAGGAAGCACTTCTAGACGCTGACTGACTGGGGTTTTCCTCTCTCCCTTGGCTTGATCTGAAAAATGAAGTAAGCCATCCAGTGATGACCAGGGAAACTAGCCTGAAGATAGCAGAGAAGAAAGATGAAAAAGGACCTAAGTCCTTACTATCATTAAACTATTGCTGATCTATCTCTCACCTGAAGCCCACCTGCCCCAACTGTGGATTTTTAGTGGCTAAGATAATCAATGTCTTCACTATATAAGCCATTTGTTACTTGCTATCAAAAGTATCCTAAATGAAACAAAAAGACTGGCAGAGTAATTTTCTTGAATGCAAACAGAGTTTATCATGGAGAGTATTTATAGTCAGAGCCTCCAATGGTTTTGTGGCAAGGCAATTTTTTCCCCCTTAATATTTAGAAGCTTCCTAGTCTTTCCAACTCCAATCTTACTCATCTGAAACTCATCTGTCCTGGGCTATTAGTGGTCTACCTAAGGAGCAATCTGAGCATGCCATCCTTAGCTCAAAATCCTTTAAAAGCTCTCCCCAAAACCATACACCTACGAAATGTGGGACCTGTGAAGTGGCCACATGAAAATGTGCTGACCTTGAAAACACAAAATCTTCTATCAGTCATTTAAGTTCAAATGTTTTAAAAAGACTGAATTGTCAGAAATCCTCACAACAATTGTATGAGATAGGTATTACTATTGTGAGGTAGGTAAGGACTCTGAGGCCCAGTCATAGAGCTGGTTGAGTGGCAGAAGCAGTTTTCAAACTTGGCCTAGAGCCTAAGTCTATACTCTTAATTGCCATGCTAGAGCTGAGGGCCAGCCTCAGGCCAAGCCACAAGGTTCCCAAACTACCTAATAAGCCCAAGGTCCATGGACTGACATATAAGACTGTTCCATTATTTGGACCTGGTCTTTGTTTCTTACCATGCTTCCCTCCAAGTTTACTCTCTATCAATAATTAACTCAGTTTATTAAACACACTATGCCATTTGATGCCACTCTGCCTTTGTATATGCTGTTCCCTCTTTGGAACGCCCTTCCCTTTTTATTCATCTGTGATGCTTGTTTGTGAGAAGGCTTCTGGGGACACCACTTATGTGAAGCCTCATCTTCCACAGTCGACCGGTGTTTCCTCCCTAGTGCTCTCTACTTTGCTGGGATCCTCTGTGCTGGTGTTCTGTCTTCTCTGCTAAGTTATAAGCTCCTCACACCTCCTCACCTTGTTTCTAGTCTCCAGCACTCAGCACAGTACCTGGCATATGGCAGACACTCAATAAACATCAGCTTAATTACTAAAGTCCCCTTGACTTTATGCTAGGATTGAACTGAAAGAACATTAGAATTACTTACTCACTTCTGGAGATGTCTAAGATTAGAAGGGTGACAGAAACAGATTGTTTCTTTAAAATACAGTAATTGACATCTTCGTCCTGAGAGGGAAAGAACCAAATGTACATGGTCTTATCAATTAACATTAGAACAAGAAAGCAAAAGTTTTCAGGAACAAGGAAAATAGCAGTGCAATCTCCATTCCAAACAGTGAACAAAACTGTGGGTGTTCAGAAAGGCTTAGCGGCCAAAGCAGTTATCACCTCAAGAAAATGGAACTGAAAGATGCAAGTTGTTTCCACTGTCTCGTGGGCTAAACTGAAAAGTGATCAGGTCATGGACTTACTACTTACCAGGTAAGAAGAAAATCCATCATTCTTTGTGCGGTCCAGGCTGAATCCAATCTAAGAGGGGTAACAAGAGTAGAGGTAAGCAGTCACAAAATGCCCTGGCGCCCGTACCTTTCCTGCTCAAAGAGCAGAAAAGGTGATTCTTTGGGCCTGGCTTTCGCTCAGTTTTCTTAGCATTCATTCTGTTAAGATGGTGATTCCTGCTCAAGTAAAACCACTAATTATTAGAGTTACTAAAAAATTACAAGTTATGTGCTAAAAGCAAAACTATCTTATGCCTAACACACAATTTGGTACTCACAAGTTTTCTTCTCTCCACATTCTGATACTTTCACATAAAGATTTCACTCAATCAACAGAAAAGGGTAACTCCCTCAATCTCATTAAGAGATACTTACAGTTGCATCCTTCACTATGGTTCCTTCAGGCTCATTTACTGAGAGGCTAGTGACATTAACCACCATGTACCCATCCTTGAAGAATCCAAAGGTGTTCAGGTGAACTTTATGCCGCACATCATCCTAAAAAGATTTGCAGTAGTGGAATTAGTAATATACAGATGCTAACTTCTGATAATTTACTGTTTTCATTTGCTTGAAAACCTATGCTATCTAATTTCCCACTAGCCAGCCAGTGTCTTCATATGCTAAATAATAAGCATAGCTGTGTTACCTCATCTTCTTCCAGAAGCTGAATAAGGCAAATGAAAAATCCACGAGATAGAAACAGTTTTGTAGAAGGAAGGAACACAATGTATTCAATTCATTCCAAGGCATTAGTATGGGGCCTAGGGGCAATGTGAATGTGAATTCCAGGGAAGAAGGAACCATGTTTTAGTCATTCTTTTGCCCTTTCTCCTCATTTTAACACCTGCCTCCCAGCAGGCACTCAAAACATGCATTTAGGGGGAGAGGTCAAACCTGTTCAAAGAACACACTATTTATGTAAACTTTACTATCAGTTGTGTAAACCTAGCTCCTCCTATTTCAGGGTGAAGAATTATTACAGAATACCTGTACAATGATTTTCTAATCTATATAACATTTTTTTTTTTTTTAAGATTCATTTAGGAACTTTAGAGGGCAGTGAGTTTATGTTAATGGGGAAGAACAACTCAGAAAAGGAGGGTAAGACTGGCTGAATAACTCGAAGAATGTAATCAATGTCACCGTACATGTAGAAACATGTATAAACTATACATGTTGAATTGGTATATGTTTTGCTATGCATATTCTCAACAACAACAACAAAATTTTTAAAAGGTTCATTTATACCTAAAAATGATATATGATAGATTTTCAGGGAACAAAGCTTTATGAAGAAGGAATCCCAGGAACTAGTCAGGTGGGAAAAAGATCTTTTGGATACAGGGAAATCCTGAGGATTACTGAAACTGCATCATATTCCACCTGTTTAAAATGTCCAAACTGTCATTCCAATCTCCAATCTCAATTAAAGCCAATAAATGTTAAGGCCAATGGAAAAATAATACCAGCAAATGCCTCTAAAATTGGGGTTCTACAAAGATATTTTATATTATGTAAAATCACTATTTTATGTTAGGAATTATTTTCCTAAATTAGAGCACCTTCAGTAAGTCTGCAATAAATAGCAAGCTATTAAATAGCAAGCAGCTATCAATAATAATTGCCAAGCACTAGGCTAGGTACTTATGTAAAACTTTCATTTGCTGCTTCCTCAAATCTGCATAGGCATTTTTGCTAGGGTTTGTTTCTTGCTCACTATTTGTGTGTGTATGTGTGTGTGTGTGTTGTGGTAAAAAAAAAAAAAACCACATACATACATACATATTATATATACATATATATATATGTCATTTCAACACTGCAATAGACATTTCGCTTGTTTCCACCTTTTGACTATTATGAATAGTGCTGCAAAGAACACTGATATACAACTAACTGTGATCCTGCTTCCAATTCCTTTGGGTAAATAACCAGGAGTGGAATTGCTAAACATACAAGTCACCATGAGCTGGAATCAACTAAATGACAACTAATAAAAACAACAACATGGTAATTTTATGTTTAATTTTTTGAGAAACAGCCAAACTGATTCCATAATAAATGTATCATTTTACAATTCCACCAAAAATGGATGAGTGATCTAATTTCTCCACATCCTTGAGAACACTTGCTGTTTTCTTATTTTTAAATCATAGCCATCTTAGAGGCTTGGGGCCTGTTTTTTGCTTGGGGGTGGCTCTTTATTTAGGCTGGGGCCCAAGGTACGTGGGCCCAGGACTTGGGGGCTGCTTTTCACTTGTGGACAGCTCTATTTTAAAGCCATTGCTCAAGATAGGCAGGTGCAGAAGGGTTAGGAACAACTAAGGGAGACAAACTTGGCTGTCAGTTTGTCGTCCTGTGGTGGCTTATGTGTTGCTGTGAGGCTGGAGGCAATGCCAACATGTTGCAAAATGCCAGCAGGGTTACCCTTGGTGGACAGGTTTCAGCAGAGCTTCCAGGCTAAGACAGACTCAGAAGAAGGAAAAGGCCATCCACTTCTCAAAGAATTGGCCAGGGAAAACCTCATGAATAGCAGAGAAAGGGCAGAAGTATGGGAACTAGGGGCAATTTGAGTAAGAGGCAATAGAGAAGTTTAATATCTTCAGCCAAAACAAGGCCAGAAGCTGATTATGTAACAGACCATCAACTGCTCACATGCATGTTCAAGCTGAAGCTGAAGACAATTAAAACAAGCCCACAAGAGCCAAAATATGACCTTGATAATATCCCTCCTGAATTTAGAGACCATTTAAAGAACAGATTGATGCATTGAACACCAATGTCCGAAAACCACAGAAATTGTGGGATGACACCAAGAACATCATCCATGAAGAAAGTAAGAGGTCATTAAAAAGATGAGAAAGGAAGAAAAGACCAAAATGGATGTCAGAAGAGACTCTGTGTCTAGCTTCATTCTTCTGCATTTGGAAATTCAGCTGTCCAGTACTATGTATTAAAGAGACAATTCTTCCCCCCATTGAATGGACTTACTATTCCTGTGGTAAATAAACTGACCATAACATATGGGTTAATTTCTCAACCTTCAATTATATCCCATTGGTCTATATGGCTACCCTTATCTCAGTACCATACTACTTTGATTACTGTAGCTTTATAGCATGTTTTGAAATCGAGAAGTGTGAATCCTCCTACTTCATTCTGCTTTCTCAAGATTGCTTTGGCTATCCAGGATCCCTGGCAGTTCCACATAATTTTGAGGAATGGCTTTTCCAATTTAGCAAAGGCTGTCAAAATTTTGGTGTTGACTACACTGAATCTATAAATTGCGTCGGGTACTATCAACATCTTAACATTAAGTCTTCCAATCTAAGAACAATAAATGTCTTGCCATTTATTTATGTCTTCTTTAATTTCTTTAAGAAATGTTTTATAGTTTTCAGTGTTTAAGTCTTTAACTTTTCTAGTTAGATTTATTCTTAGGCATTTCATTGTTTCACAAGTTATTGTAAATGGAATTATTGCCTTAATTTTCTTTTCAGAATGCTCATTGGTGAGGAGTAGAAGCCCAAATGATTTCTGTGTACTGACCTTGGATCATGCTACTCTATTCAATTCATTTATTAGCTCTATTACCATTTTTGTGGATTCTTTGGGATTTTCTACATATAGGATTATACCACTCAGAAAGACTTTATTTCTTCCTTCCCAACTTAGTACCTTTTATTTCTTTTTCTTGCCTAACTGCTCTGGCTAAGACTTCTGGTACAATATTGAATAGCAATGGTGAGAGACAGCATCCTTGTTTTGTTCCTGGTTTTAAGGGGAAATATCTCAAGTCTTTCTCCATTGAGTTTGATGGTGGTAGTGGTGGTGGTGTTAGGTACCATCAAGTCAGTTCTAACTCACAGCAACCCTATGTACAACAGAAAGAAACAAGGCCCAGTACTGCACCAGCCTCACAACTGTTGCTATGTTTGAGTCCACTGTTACAGCCACCATGTGAATACATCTCACTGAGAATCTTCCTCTTTTTTTACCGACCCTCTAAAGTTGGGCAATCTATTCCATGGTGATACCGTCTCAGAAACCCAAGAAGGGGTTGTTAGGAGTCAGATCCAACTTGATGGCAGTGAGTATGGTCTTGGTTGGTTTGGTTTCTATTTTAGTTTGGTTTCTATTTATGATGTTCACCTCTAGGGATTAGTGTTACCTGTGAGTTTTTCATAAATGCCCCTTATTATATTGAGAGATTTCTCTTCTATTTCTACTTTGTTGAGTGTTTTAATCATGAAAAGGTGTTATATTTTGTCAAATGCTTTTTCTGCCTTGACTGAGATGATGACCATGTGGTTCTTTTCTTTTGTTCTATTAATGTGGTGTACTACACTGACTGATTTTCTAATGTCGAACCACCCTTGCATTCCTGGGATAAATATCACTTGATCATGATGTATAATCCTTTTGATATGCTTTTGGATTCAGTTTGCCAGTATTTTATTGAGGTGGTTTTTTTGTTTGTTTCTTTTGTTTTTTAACTTTTTATTGTGATTTTGGTGGAAGTTTACAAAGCAAACTGATTTTCCATTCAACAATTCATACACGTTAATTCATAACACTGATTGTAATCCCCACGATGTAACAGAACTCTTACTTCTTTCCTTGTCTTTACCATTTCCATTTCTTTCTTTCCTATCCCTTCCTCCCTTCTGAGCTTTATCCCTGGGCAAATGCTGCCCTTTTGCTTTCATATGGTTGGTTGTTCTAAGGACTGATACTGCCCTGGTGTAAATGTTCACTTTCTAGGTCTATCTATTGCTTGGCTGAAAGTTGATTCACAAAGATGAGTTCTATTCCAAGCTTGAAGGGTGTCAAGAGTTCCACCAGTGTTTTATCAAAGCAATAAGCCTAGTCTGTTTTATGAGTTTAAGTTTTGTTCCATTATTTTCTCCCACTCTATAAAGGCCCTCCTATTTTGATCCCTTTCAGAGAGGTCAACAGTGGTAGCTGGGCACCATCTAGTTCTTCTGGTCTCAGGGTCATAAAGACTGGTGTTCATGTGGTCCATCAGTCCTATGAACTAGCTGTTCCCAAGGGTCTTTGATTTTCTTCATTCTTTTTTCGCTCCAGGCAGGGAGAGACCAATAGTTGCTTCTTAAATGGCTCATTGAGGATTTTTGCATCTATATTTATACTGCTCATTATTTCTTAATTCCATTCTTTGTTTTACATTTTAAACATAACAATTTTATAAGATGCTCTGGGTCTGATTCTGCTCTGTGCTGTTTCTGCTGACTTTCACAATAGCTTATTTCTTTGTATTTGTGATAATTTTTTACT